ACACAGGAAAATTTCATTTAAAGCTAAACTGGATGTCAGTTGATAGTTTCAGGCCACACTGTAGGTGTATGAAAAACACATACACACAAGATACACACACACACAGGACCAGAAGCAGGAAGATCTGTCAGCACTTGCTGGTTATTGTCCCTTTCCTAGCTGTGTAAATCCTTTGAAGCAGGAGCCTTGAAGAGAAACTCTTCTCTCTGGAGCTGCTGAGGCTGCAGTTGCCCTGAAGCCAAGCAAAATAAAGAATTCAATAAAGAGGATCCTAGTGATCTACAGGGAAACAAGAATTCTCATCTTTTATTGGATATATGCTACCTAACCTAATGAAGTAAACTACTGGTCCAGAATGGTGGACAGAAAATAAAAAAAGCCAGCTGAAGTGAGATTCAGCTGAATCTACCTGAATATCACGATTAACTTGTTCCATTTAACAGCTTATACAGCTATTTTTAAATAGTAAGATGCAAGGTTTTCTAAGGTGAGAAAGATTATCCCAGTTCATAATTTTTAGAATCAGAGTGGAATTCCATGCTCTAAAGGATACTACAGGATTGCAACCGATTAAAGTTAAATTATTTACCTTCTGACTTGATGAGTATCCTAGGAGTACTGTAAATATTTGTCAGTAAGCTTTACTGACTTCATACACTATACAGATGGCACTGTTCTGAACTTATATCATTCATATGTAACTGCAGGATCCACCTGGTGTATACAGAGTAGAATAACTTTTCCTGGCATAATGGAATTTCACTGCACTTTCCACAATCAAATCAATAAAGCTGTGCTGTAAGAATCCCCATAAACACACACCAACATGATACTACCCACCTGTTTTAGAGCCCAAGGGCTTTCAGCTCAGTAACAGCTGGGGGACCCATGAATTTGGCTGACAAAATTATGCCTTTTTCTCCTCCAGCCATGGTAAAGACTAATAATTCTTAACCTTTTCCAAACTAGTACCCTTCTTCAGTCTGGAAGGGTGCTTCCTCCCATTTAATTACAAAAATTGAAAAAGGATTATGATATAGAGGCATCATCTCAGGTGGGGAACTCACACTATACAGACAATGGACGTGTATTTGTACCTTTAAGGAGCACCGTACAACTGTGTGCATGCTTTCGTTTAAAAACAACAAAGAAAAACCAAAGGGGGAGGGGAGGAGAGGAGAGGTAAGAGCACAACTGTTCAGTCCCCATCATAAGCAGAAATCCTAAGAGGATATTAAACCTGTTTCCTTCAGACCAGTGAGAGCATCTAGAAGACTACCGTGGCTCTTGCATCCAAGCGCTCTAGATCTTGAACTAGAACTTGCTACATGAGCAAGCACTGCAGTTCCAACCAATGTTCCCTTTATGCTCATCACCCTGTTCAAATTTGCAGATGACACTAAGATTTGGGGAGAAGTGGGCACGCTAGAAGGGACAAATAGGCTGTAAATCGGACCTAGGCAGGTTCCAGGGGTGGGCGGATGAGAACAGGATGGGTTTCAACACTGACAAGTGCAAGGTACTGCACCTGGGGAGGAAGAACCAGCAGCATACCTACAGGCTGGGGAACTCCCTTCTCGTCAGTGCAGAGGCAGAAAAGGATCTTGGAGTCATCATCGATTCCAAGATGAACATGGGCCGACTGTGTGGGGACGCGGTCAGGAAGGTTAACCGCACCTTGTCATGCATCTACAGATGCATCACGAGCAGGTCCAAGGAGGTGATCCTCCCCCTCTATGCAACACTGGTCAGGCTGCAGATGGAGTACTGGGTCCAGTTCTGGGCGCCGCGCTTCAGGAGGGATGTGGACAACGTGGAGAGGGTCCAGAGGAGGGCCACTCGCATGATCAGGGGTCAGTAAGGCAGGCCGTACGAGGAGAGGCTAAGGGACCTGAACCTGTTCAGTCTCCACAAGAGAAGGCTGAGGGGGGGATCTAGTGGCCATTTACAAATTAGTCAGAGGGGACCAGCAGGCATTGGGAGAATCCCTGTTCCCCCAAGCACTTCCAGGGGTGACAAGAAATAACGGTCACAAGCTGACAGAGGGTAGATTTAGGCTGGATATCAGGAGGCGCTACTTCACTGTCAGGGCGACTAGGATCTGAAACCAACTTCCAAGAGAAGTGGTGCTGGCTCCTACCCAGGGCATCTTTAAGAGGATGCTGGATGAACACCTTGCCGGGGTCATCTGATCCCAGTACTCTTTCCTGCCATGACAGGGGGTCGGACTTGATGATCTGCTCAGGTCCCTTCTGACCCTACCAACTACGTAAGTATGAAACTAGGATGTTGCAGTAGTGTGCCAGGGCGGGAAGGGTGGGGCTGGCTGCCGGCAAGGTGGCTGCCGCCCCCCACCCTTGCCTTCAATTGGCTATGAGGGCTGCCCATCATATGGCCCTGCCCCTCTCTACCAATAGGCAGTGAGGGACAGGGCCACAACAGAACTTGCAGCCAATTAGCTGAGGGGTACAACTGAAAGACAGACAGTCTCAAAGCCAATCAGCAGCAAGGAGCGGGACCCCTGGGGCCCTTGTGCCAGAGACATGGGTCAGTCCACCGTGCTCTGCCTATGAAGTGGCTGCTAGCCCCATGTTTTGCCTATGAAATCGGGAGGTAGCCACCTCAAATTCAGCAGGTCCCTAGTTATGCATAGTATTTTAAATATGGGGTTCCAACATCTGGCCCGTGGACTAAATCCAGCCCACAAAGCTGGAGGGCTTTGTCTGTGCTCACATCTACGCAGGGACTACAAGTGAGGAGCTGCATCATGGACAGGTAGTCTTCAGCTATGCCCATGCTACTGCAGGGGAAGTCCTCTACCACGGACATGCCTCCAAAGCCACCCAGCTTGCACTGGACTGAAGCTGGGTTGTTCTGGCCTGCGGCTTGTACAGGTTGCCAGCCATTGTCCAAAAGCAGGGGTGGGCAAAATGCAGCCCGTGGGCCAGATGCAGCCTGCCAGACCATTCTACCTGGCCCGTGGAACCCCTAAAAAATTTAGAACATTAATATTCCTCTGCCCCTGACTGCTTATCATGCGGCCCTTGATTGCTTGCCAAAACTCAGTAAGTGGCCCTCCACCCAAAATAATTGCCCACCCCGTCCTAAAGTGTAATAATGACATTTCTATTGTAAATTCATTCATCTTATTGAGTGGGCTAGAGTGAATACACACACACACAAAATAAATAAAAAAAGAAACACATACACAACCCTCCCCCACACCAAAACAAAACCCAAACTGAAACCCAAGGAAAACTTCCATATTATATATATAATTCTATAGTTTTGAACCACTGGTGCTGTGAAGGGGAATCCAAGTGAAGAAATTGCACGCTCCTTTACATATCGCATACCACCATCCAATTTGATAGCTCATGTTAAATACCTTAATGATCTTAATATAGGTTTCGCTCGATTTATGCAGGTTTTGTATATGCAAATTCGCTCTTATGCAATGATCCTCTTTATACCCCAAATTCGTTGTAGTGAGATAAATTAACTCCTATGTAACTGGGATAGGCGCCCCCCACAAACAGTTAAGTTTGTTGGGGGAAGGGAAAAGAGTCTTGGGGCCAGGGCCCCCACTCACCCCACCCCATGCAGCAGCAACTCTGGGAGCGGCCAATGCCAGCTGCCTGAAATTGCTGGGCTGCACTGTGCCCCGAACCCCGCAGGGCACCACTCAGCCCCATGTACCCCAGCTCCTGGGCTGCTCCTGTGGTGCAAGCAGGTGGTGTCAGCTGTTCCCGGGTTTGCTGCAGCAGGAGCTGGGGTGAGTGGGGAGAAGCGGAGGCCTGGGGCTGCAGCAGGGAGCAAAGTGGAGGGAACTCTAAGTGGGTGCAGGACGGGGAAGGGAGGGGGCGGGGTGCATGGCTCTTGCTGCTATGTGCACCCCAGGAAGGCTGTGTTGGGCTCTTCCTGGGAGGTGTGTGCCCTTGGATCTATGCACAGGACGAGAGCAGGCTGGAGCTGGCAGCAGCACTGGGCTCTTCCCAGTGCTGAAAGGGCAGGTTAGGGGAGCTACAGTGAATTTTGGGGTGGCAGCAGTTCCCCATCCCAGAGCCGCTGCCTGCCCCAAGTGCCAGGAAGAGCCTAGTGCCACCGCTGGCCCCAGCCTGCAGCAGCAGCCTGCTCTTGTCCCATGCGCAGATCCAGGGACACAACACCCAGGAAGAGCCCAGCACAGCCCCCCAGCCTGCATCCCCCTCAGGGTGAGAGTAGCAGCAAGAGCCATGCCCCCTAGCCCCATGCCCACTTACAGTTCCCTCTGCTTTGCTCCCTGCTGCAGCCCTGGGGGTGGCCAATGGGCTGCACCACACACCTCCCTGGGCCCCTTCCCTTATTCCCAGTCTTACTCCCTCCCTCCCTCCCTCCCTCATGGCTGGGGGAATGTATCCCTATTTGTTACATTGTAAACTGGATTCCCTTTATGCAAATTTGATTTATGTGCAGTGTTCTGGGAACACACGTACCACATAAATCAAGGGAAACCTGCACCATTCCTTATGATCTCACCAAACAAGACCATCACTGCAACTTCACCCCGTTTATTAGCCCTGAGAGGAGATGCGCATGCCCACATATTCTTAGTTAAAGGAGCTCTTATTGCCAATAGACTGGCTTTCCACAATATGATTCTAGATGACCTATTACAAAAATATGGAGAGGCCTGTACTATTAATAATGTATTAAGATTTCAGTCTCCTTAACTTCTTAGCATAATCTACTAAAACCATGTGGTTAAAAAAAGTAAAAAATAAAACCAGAAGGCCCGCTTAACTGTTGGCAGCCCAAATACTAATCCACCTGAAGCCACTGTATGTGCACCAGTCAGTTACACACTATACTGCTACTATCCTCTACCTGCCATTAAACAATCTTACATGCAGATTATTCAGTCTTTTCCCTCAAATACAGTTCTTGTTAACTTGCATTTATACATATATTAAAAACATATTTAAAGGGATACCAAACAAAAATATTTAATTTTCATTAGAAAGACAATAGTAATGCATTTTAGGAAGAGAGAAGAAAGTTAAAATAAAACAAACAAAATCCCTTGTTCATTGGTCAGGTTCAGGCTGAAATATTGGTTCATGAACTCGAAGATGGATAAAGGAAAAAAGGAAGCACGATGATCACTCTCAACAAGTCTGTCCTCTGTTTAGTATGGTAAATTCAGGCTCCCTTCCCTTCCCACTTTTTTCTCCACCTGACCTCACACATCCTGCTGA